AGGGAAGCAAGGAGCAGCTTCAGGGGCCAGGGCTGGAACTGGGAAAGGTGACCAGGCTGGGCCTTCTAGGAGATGCCTGCCAGGCCAAGTCACCAAGTTCCCGGGGGGCCACGGGCACTCTTCCCATCTGTGCTGGCGTGGGATCTGGGCCTGATCCAGGTGGTGAGGCTGGGACTAAGGCAGAGGGGCAGGCCGTGGACAACGTCAGATCTTGTCTGAGGCGTAGGTGAAAATTAAGCCAGGAAGACACCGCCCTTCCCTGCAAGTTCAATCTGAGGGAGATACAGCCTTACCCTGGCATCCCCAATTGGTGGGGTAGTGACTCGGAAGACAGGCGTCGTATATATGAAATTATTTAGTGCCTCTTAACGAGCCAAGGAGTTGTACGCTGGCGAGGGACACAGGTCAGCCAGCAGGCGGTCATGGAGCTGGTGCTTGCTTAGCCGTAGGGCTGGAGGGCTAGGCCGGGCTGGCCTTCTCTGTTCTCCGACACAGGAGGGTAAGCACTCGGGAAACGCAGGCTGTGTGAAGGAAGAGACATCCGTGTCTGAGAAGGCAGCCTTCTTTGCGAAGTGGGGCTAGGAGCTGCTTTTTGGGAACCTGAAGATAGGATGGGGAGGGGCAGGAGCAGACGCACGTCAGATGAGGAAGGGTAGGAGCCGGTCAGGGCGGACTTTCTGGGGGCCGGGGCAGGGAAGGCATCGCTCCCCTCCTTCTGCTCCCCAGTCCTGGAGAAGATCCGCAGTGCCGTGGGCAGCACACAGCTTCTCCTGTCCCAGAAGGTTCAGCAGTTCTTCCGGCTGTGTCAGCAAAGCATGGTGAGTGCCCCTGCTGTGGAGCCTGTCGGGCGCGTGTCCCCGGCAGCTGACCCAGTGCGCGTGCTGGGAGGCGAGGCCAGGTGTCTGAAGCCTGGGCTTTCTCGCCTCCCCGTCCCCCAGTCCCCCAGCCCCGCTCTCCCAAGTGGAGCCTCCTGACAGTGAGGGCGGGTGGGGGCTTTCTCCCGCCTGCCTGGGACTCAGACGGCCCTGGCTGGCTGCCTCTCCTTTGTCTCCTTCCTCTGCAGGACCCCACTGCGTTCCCTGTGCCCACCTTCCAGGACCTGGCGGGTTTCTGGGACCTCCTGCAGCTCTCTATCGAGGACGTGACCCTCAAGTTCCTGGAGCTACAGCAACTCAAGGCCAACAGCTGGAAACTCTTGGAGCCTAAGGTGGGGGGAGGTCCCTTCAAGCCAAGAGTCCAGATCCTGGAAAATACCCTTCCCCATGGAAGCATGTGGGGGGTGGGGATGTGGAAATTGGGGGGCAGGAGAAGAGACCCAAAGGCAGCAAAGGCAGCCCTGGACAGGTGATGGTGACCGTCTTCTTCCAAAAGACCACACTCTTAGTCACTGCTGTGTGCTCGGCCCTAGTGCTCAGTGCCTGAGCTGCCAGAGCCCGAGGTGGCAGCGGCCGCAGTTTGAGGGAGCAGCCCTAGAGCTTCCCCAAGGGCAAGCTGCCCTCATCTCGGACCCTGAAGGTCCCCTCAGGCTCACCTCACTAGACCTTGTCTGTGATGGGGCCCAGCAGCCTGGTCTGTGGACCCCCCCCTGCCTTGCCTGCGCCCCTCCCGACCTGGAGTGGAAACATTCGCTTCCCCGAGGGAGCGAACGCTCCGATTCGAGTTGTCCGAAAGGGCGCCACCAAGGGGCGTTTCGAATCATCTTTGAAGGGAAAAATGTGGGTTTTGACCTTGCGGGAACAGATACACCCGGGGCTTCGGGCGCCCAGGGCGGCGCCTAAGTGCTCTCCCCGCGCGGAGCCTGGGGGCGAACCCTCGGGCGCGGGGGCGCGAGTGGGAAAAGCAGGGACCCCGCCCCGACCGAGCCGCCCTCTCCCGGCAGGAGGAGAAGAAGGTCCCTCCGCCGATACCAAAGAAGCCCTCGCGGGGCCGGGGCGCGCCGGTGAAGGAGCGCTCGCTGGACTCGGTGGACCGGCAGCGGCAGGAAGCGCGCAAGCGGCTCCTGGCGGCCAAGCGCGCCGCCTCCTTCCGCCACAGCTCGGCCACCGAGAGCGCCGACAGCATCGAGATCTACATCCCCGAGGCCCAGACCCGGCTGTGACCCGCCGGGCCGCGGTTTCTGCCCGTACTGTACACCCAGCGTCGAGGTC